CACTCGGGTAGGGATTACTGAGATGTGAATAGAAGTATTCATTTAATATCTCAGTCGCCTGTTTGCTGAAGTTTCGACGCTTCCTCCTAATGGACACAACGTTTTTAAGACACAATTAGATGTATATCATAATGATTATTAAATTATTGGGTATGGATATGCATGGGTGATGGGATAGGTTATTGGTTTTGAATACTGTATTATGTTTTGTATATAGAAATATGTGCATAAATAAACATTATAAATGTAATAAATTAATGCATTTGATTTATACTGCATACACATATACTGTAGTTTATAGCAATGTTAATATTTACATATTTAAATCATATATGCATTAATTGATTACACGAATAGTGAATAAGAATTTAATTTTTAACGAATTGATTTTAAAATACCAAAAGGTTTTAGAAAAATGTTTATATGTATTAAATGTGTTGAGTGAAAAATTCTGGGAATCAATAAAAAAAATTTCTTAAATTAAAAAAACCAGAAACATATAATAAATGTACGAACAATACTATTGTGATAAATAATAACTACTTTTCTATTCATTAGGCAATACAATGGAAACCAGAAAAAACAAGTATTGAAAAAAGCCATTCAATTCTAGACCACAATATACCAGTCGAGAGAGGGGAGGGCAGGGGAGGGGAGAGCGCTAAAAGTTGGGTATCTTTTGGTTAAATGTGGGTTCAATATAAACAACAAAACTAAATGAATAACATTTTTGAAAATAAAAATGTTTGTAAAACTTTAAAACCTAGTGCTACACCAAAATATAACTTATTTTTGTGATTTATTAATATAAATAAATCTAAAAATATCTCATAAAACACTATGAATGCTAACAAACAATGTCAACGATCTGGTTAAAAGTGATTTAAATAGCATCTCTGCTAATAATAGATTAGATACGAAGCGATTGTGTGTCCCTTTAAAGGGCACTGTAAGGGACGGTGAGGTCGCGGCTCATTGCGTATAAATGTATGCCTATTTTCACTGGTATGGACACAGAAATTGCTATTTTGTGTTCAAACTAAACTCGACACACAATGTGCCCCAGAAATTGATGCCCACTCTAGTCAACTAGCACTTTTTTGCCCTCAACTCTAACGCTACTCTACTATTTGTGTGATTATTATTATATTTGAAAAGTGAGCTCAGATTGTGGTGGCGAACGCATCACTTATTTGGTTGAGTGCCGGACCGATACCTCAAACATTGATTTAACTATATTTTTTCGTACGACTCTCTCTCTCTCTCTCTCTCTCTCTCTCTCTGTCTGTCTGTCTGTCTGTCTCTCTCCTCTACTTGTTATAGTATTTTATAATTTTAGTGGCAAAACATTGATCAGCGAAACTGACTGTGCGTTTATGATCACTAGTTATATGTTTGAGAAGCTGTGAAAATAGTATAGTGAGTGAACACACACTACAACCACACCATACACTGGCACTTATCGTTGAGGACAGGGACATGTCGAGCGAGAGGGCCATACCATATACACTATCTAATCATAATAGGCAAGTGTACATTACAGGTGTCAAGTAGTTTAATGGGTGGTCTCCGAGCAAATACCCCCCAACAGACACGACAATAAATGATAGCCTCCTAGCAGTCAGTGTTTCGATATTATACGACACTAACAATTCCAGGTCTCAAAGCCATCAAAATGTTGGCCAACAAAATGAAAATATATATAAAAAAGTTTTTTCACTCTTTTGTTATTGTTTTGGAGAATATATATATATTTTTTATATATAAATATTTTTTATGCCATTCATTGGAAATGTATGGTTAGTATAATAAGAAGAATGAAATGAAAGGGACGTTAACTCATAGTTTTTGTTACTTAAACACAGAGTGCATATATAAGAAAGACTACTGGTGCTCACAAATGGGTATAAAAATCTGTAGAAAAACGAGTCTTAGTTCTAAGAAATAGGAGAAGTTTTGCGAATACGAGAGAGAGGGAGGGAGAGAGAGAGAGAGAGAGAGAGAGAGAGAGAGAGAGATTTTATTCACTATTCGAGTGCTGAGAGAAAAAGAGAAAAAATAATTTTGAGCACAACTTCTCGTTAAAGATTAAAATTTGTGATAATATTTTTTAAGAGAGAGAATTTTGTTTTTATATTATTTTGCAGTTCATATACAGGTGTACACAACCCATAGACGCACTGCAAGTGTATGTATAGATGGTGTGTGGAGTGGAACAGACAGATAGAGCGATAGATAGGTATAGTGGAGAGATTGGAGTGGATGTTGAGGTGGTATGTGGGGTGAGGGCACACATACCTGGCATCGAGAAACCTTGATCTAAGGATCATAACTGCTTCACAGGTGCTTTGTTTGAGCTGTACTTGAATTGAATTAAACTTTTTGTGTATTATCTGAACCATCCTTTCGATCTCTTTGGGCGTTATGGGACGCGTCCGACTCTGCTCTCGTAATAGATTCATAACGTGTGTCGTAAACTCATTGCAAGCCTATGGGGCACAGGGATCAAGACAATGGAAGAGTTAGTATTAATCATCAATTCAATTATACATATAATATTAAAAACGTAATAATATTAATATTGACATACATGTAGTAAATAACATATAAAGAATATTTTTGTTATTTTTAAAGCAAATTTATAATAAATATAATTTTTGGTGTGTTTTTTTGCAAAGCCAACAGAATTTGTAAATTCAAAATGCATTCAAATTCATTTCGTATTTGTTAAGAAAAAATACTTTTATTTATTGTATAATATCCATAATATCCACACAAACCACTAAACTTCGTGAGCAATAAAACTAAACTATAAAATACATTACAAGTGAACAAGTTTTGTGAATAGGCGTTCAGATATTTATATATATATATATGAAAGCAAATTCTTTTCATAAGGTTTTATTTATTATGAAAAAAGTACTTCTTTTTCTTAAGAGTTAAATAGATTTTTAGTATTATTTTACTATCGCGTGATATGAACTTAAACACCAGTATATATTTTCATCTTATTTTTCGTTTTCAACATAAACTTAAATAAATTTCATTTCAATTTAAAGATTATTGCATTAGTTTTACTCTTAGTATTGTATTTCTTAGCCGTTTATTCGCCACAACTCTTGCGGACAATAAGGAGTTGAGAGGACTGTTGATGGGAGTGGAGGGTTGTGTGGAGTGTATGAAACGCAACACAAACAAAAAAATCATATCATAATAATAATCGTAATAAAGGCATAAAATTGTTGGTAACATATGCTATGCCTGTGAGAGTAATAGTGATGAAAAGGCAATAAAAATATCAAACATTATGTGAGAGAGAGAGAGAGAGAGCTCTGGGAGGGAGAGATGTGACACTTATATTGTTTTTGACATTCAAGTTAATTGGTGTTAAAAATAGGAATTTATTCATTCAATTGTTGAGCAAATTTGAAAATACAATTCACATGACATACAAGACTTATAGCGAACAAAAAACTATATAATTCTCTCTGCGGACACAAAAACCGCAATAAAAAGCCATAAAATAACAAAAACTCAAATTTTAAAATTATTGTCGACTTATTTTATATACACTAAAAAGTATATACAATAAAATATATCGCGAGAGAGATTGAGAGAGCGTTTATTTATGTGAAAAGTAGTGTTTTTATCATTTAATACATTTTGTTCACAATTTATAGACGAAATGAATTGGTTTTAAGAAATATTGAAGCGGAGAGAGAGAGGGAGAGAGAGAGAGAGAGAGAGATTGGAGAGGAAAATGAATATAAATATAAATAAATAGTAGAGTTTAAGAAACAAATAAAACTAAAATGTAATCGAGAATGAAGTTGTAAACCAAATATCAAGAATAAAATATATATGTATACAATATATTCTCTATGAAAAAGGATAGGGTATATAAATATCCCTCTGTTTATACCAACTGTCCTACAGATGGCGATTAAAGTGCTATAAATTATTCTTAATCAGAGCTAGCATTGAATTCTGGAGTTTTTGAACAAAACTTTTTATTGCCACACAAACTATATATAGATATTTGCGATTCCGTAATATTTTTGTTAAATTATGATTAATACATAAAACAATAGAAATACTAATTTTTAATTAAGACAATAACCATACATTATGTGCGAAATAACAGAGTTATTGTGAATATTTTGGTCATTAATAATGTTATTGAATACAAAAATTATACATAATATCTATGATTAGTGAGTGAGAGACGGCTCATATGTTTTATATATGCCATACAGCGAGTGAGTGAATGCGAGAGTGAGTGAGTGAGAGACTCTCATATCGAAGCGTACATACAATATGTGCTAATTATGCCAAATGTTTGGCACCGGGAGCTGATGCCAGCGTTAGACAGACAGCGCTTTTCACTCGCTCTCTCTCTCTCTCTCTCTCTCCTCAACAACAATACCCATCCATCATATGATGATCCGTTTGAGTGAGACTTAGATGACATCATTTTCGCCTTACTTTCCAGACATTAATGCGAAACTCAATTAAAGACATTATTGGGGGGACTCTGAGCGCTAAATGCCGGCCAATGCCTACGAGTGCCAAATGTTAGGCAAAACTAAGGCAATAATATCCGCTAATGCTCTCAATGTTAGATCATATATGAAATATACAATATATAATAGAAGTACACTATTGGCACAAATATTAGTCTCAAATTTAATACATATACCACACTCTCTCTCCCGACTCACTCTATATATGATCTAATATTTGCCGTATTTTTCGTATTAAAAGAAAAATTTTATTTCCAAAAACAGAGAGAAAAGATAACATCTGTTGTGTTTAGATGTGTTTCAAAACTCCATTGTTTCTGTTATTACATAACATTTTTTCTCATCACTGTTTCACTCCATTCTCTCTCTCTCTCTCTCTCTCTCTCTCTCTCTCTCTCTCTCAAACCTGGCTTATACTCAATCAGGTTTATTATGAGAAAAAAAACAGAGTGAGAGGGGGGGTGTCTAACACATCTCGAGGGGGCTTACAGTGTATGTATGTATTCGTTCAGATATATTAAATGCAATACACTGTACACGACGAGAGAAATACTATGAACTCCAGTACAGTATTATGTATGAGATTCTGATGCGATGGCCGACACAAACTAGCGATCAAAATATGGAGAGAGAGAGAGAGAGAGAGAGAGAAAGAGAGAGAGAGAGCATAGGGAGAGATGGAATGGAGTGGTAGTAGATGTGACAGTAGGTGGGCCTGGCAATCTGCCTTTGCTATAACCTTGATCTCAGAGCTCACACATGAGATGGACTGCGCGATGGATTGATAGCTCAGCTCACTCTGACTCTCTCTCTCTCTCTCTCTCATTTTGCTTGTAATTTGCATCTCATTAAACCGGACGCAGGGATTAAATTCTTCTATCATTTAATCGCACGCAGAGCTTGTATTACAGAGTATGTGTATATAGAGTGAGTGGAACTGTAGCTTTTAAAAAATAGGTACAGAATTGGTGAGACCAACAGTGCATGTGATGTATAATAAACGGCAACTCCGATGAGACACAACTTTCCCCGATACACCACACCATATACCCATTGCATGCCTTTAATATAATTACATTTAATATATTTTAACTCTTTTTAGCAAAAATATTCGCTCCGATAAACACATTGCGAGAGAATATTTTACTCCACAAAACACTGAATATATATATGAAAAAAAAGAAAATATTTTAAAACATTTAAAAATATTCAGCGAAAAAATATGCGAACTATTTTTCACAGCAAAAAATTTATTTCGCCGTTTAATGCCGTGTCTTATGTAATGAATATTAATATTAGTATTCATTGGGAGCGAGAAAAACGAGTGAAAAAACTTAAAGGCGAATAAATTACGCCAATTTTTCAAAGACATATAAAAGTCAGGCATAACTCAAAACAATTAAATGAATAAATAAAACGCTTTTGAAAACGCGTTTTTCGCTGGAAATTTGGTTGAATAGGTCGCGCCGTAAACCCATAAGTCTTACGGTGGCGTCCGTTTTGGGGCCGCCTTTTGTTATGTCCGATGACTTATTGGACAAGTCTTTTATGTATCGCTCGTTAATTAAACACAAAAAAGTGGTTTTAGTTTTAATTAAGCGAATGGATTGTAATGAGAGACGAGAGCTTAGGCGATAAAACACAGACACAAATGGGAAGTGCAGACAATCGCACACTTTTACAAAACATATGTAAATGAAATTTAGGTTAAATTGTGTGATATATTAGCGACAAAATAATAATCATCAAAAGAAATGCTTAATTTTATACTACATATAAACTGCTTTTGACTCAAAATTCATAAATTAAATCTCTCTCTCTCTCTCTCTCTCTCTAATTGTGTAACAAATTTATGTTGTATTTAAGAAATTAAAAAAGCAACATTTTTTTCTCTACACATTATGTATGAATAAATTTGGAGTGAAGTCTGAAGTCACGAACAATTGATGGATCGAATGGTTATGTCTTGAAATCAAATGAAGACTACGAGAGAGAGAGAGAGAGAGAGAGAGATTTAATTTATGAATTTTGAGTCAAAAGCAGTTTATATGTAGTATAAAATTAAGCATTTCTTTTGATGATTATTATTATAGAAGAATTTAATCCCTGCGTCCGGTTTAATGAGATGCAAATTACAAGCAAAATGAGAGAGAGAGAGAGAGAGAGTAAGAGAGAGAAAGGGAGAGAATGAGAGCCAAAAACAATATAAATGCTATTTAGCCGAAAGGCAATCGGAGTCGACGAGAATAAAGTTATTAACCTTTTTGTGGCTAAACTTTTTTCGCCAAAAACTCTGTAAATCATAAAAATAACATACATTTAGTACGTCTAGAGTGGAGGCCATAAGAGGGATGGGAGGGGAAGGAGAGAGAGAGAGAGACCTGAGAATTGATAATTCATTTGACACACAATAGGAATTTTTGATGAATTCGCTGTAAAACAGTGTTTATATGTTTTCAACATTTTTATGATCTCATAAAATGCTACAAAAAAATGCTATGATATATGGGATGGCGTCCACTAGTCTCACCATTACGTACAGCCGTATGTATGTGTGTCTGCGGAGTGAGAGGACAGACACCAAACGACATGTATTTTTAAGTGCATTTACCACCGATACTGTAGTAATGTTTGATGGTTTTGATGGCTAAGAAATCGATAGCAAGGGTCGAGTGGGCTGTCAATACACACTCGCGGAGAGTGGTGTATGACTTGTAAAAATAAGATATATATTTATACCATTGCTCTGTAAAAAAAAGGGAAAGCCATAACTAATGGTTGTGATGACCAGTTCTGATGCTATCTATTGTAAGGCATCTCTAAATGTTGGCAATAAGTGTGAGGTGTTTGCAAAATGATAGGGGTTTGCCGGCTAATACCGGGTGTCATTACCTGCAACTGCAACACACTTACGACTAATGCTAAATACCATTAATCAAAATACATTACTAAACACACATATAATATACACAACTGTACGGCGAGATTGGGCTATAATTTCTCCCACCCCTGAAAACACCGCAATCCCTACCATTTAATACCCCATTCAGTGCCCGTCGAGAGAGAGAGAGAGAGAGAGAGAGAGCACTGGTACCCAACAAGTAGTGCATTATTTCTGACAAATGTAAACCATTTTCACGGATACAACGAAATTATTATTAATTTAATTCATACGTAAAAATCAATCAATGCTTATATATTAAGTGAATACAGATATACTGTGCATTTAAATCGCTATTTAAACAATCATTAATCAAATGTAGTATTTTACGATATAATAGTTATGTATATATCAAAAATAAATACATATCAATAAAAAAGGCACTATTTTTCTAATCTTAACTGTTGTCGTGTTATTTCATAAAATACTGAACATCTCTATAAATGTTTTAATGAATCTATTTTTCAAGCGAAAGAAAAATTCATTTCTAATCTTAAATACAAGTTTGGCTTTAAAATACTGCACATTACAGACAACATAAATACCAGTCGTATATAAAAACTGGTATTTCATTTGCTGTGGCAAAACACAAATTTTTTGCTTTCCCTTCAAAGTCAAAGGTTATCGTTTGGGAACTTCTAGCAAAAAAATTCTCAAAATTGAAAATTTCTAAATAATATTTAATAAACATTATTATTATGGCCTAAAAATAGTGATGGAGAGAGCGAGAGCGAGGGATACCTAAAATACACTAAATAATCATTAGTGAACTAATTGTACACAAAAATCAAAAATGTTGAACACGTTTACACGAATAACCTGTTATTACATCTAATGCCAAACGTAACACAACTATGCGATCGGTTTTTGCATAAACCATGTTTTTAGGCAAATAAATAATATTTTACTACAAGCTTTTATATATATGGCATTTTTTGAAGCACTTGTTTATGCGGTTATGAGTCGAGAAGTGAAGATTAGGAAAATTTATGAAAAACATTTCACTACCAAAACTAATACATAGACTCCAAATGTATATAAAGAGATAAGTTATGTTAGCATGGCTTTTTGAGAGGTTAACTCAATTTAATATTAATAAAATGTTGTCAAATATATGTGTAACGCGTTTGAAAAATACATAAAATTTACAAATATTTATATATTAATGTATTTATTCAAGTGTTGATTATACGGAATTTGTGTAAATAATACCAATTTATATAAAATAATTTCACATGAATATCGTAATAAGCCCTCAAAATGGTTTAATTTAATATAAATATTAAATTCTATTAATAACATTAAAAATAATATAATTTCAAATATACACGGCATATATCTCCCACTTGTGTATCAACTCATTGACCATAATATGCGCCGACATATAAGACATCGAGAGAGAGAGAGAGAGAGAGAGAGAGAGCACAAAAAAGATGAAAAATGATGCCCTCATTCATGCCTTATTAGTACTACAATTGATGTGACAGACAGACAGCCAGAGAGGGAAAGGGAGAGGAATGTTATTCTCACTTCTAATCAGTTCTTGCGGTGACTTTCGGTGTCATTCAAACCAATTTGTGTTTCATTTATATATATCATATACTACAGTATAACATAACACACAAAATACTGTGCCATAAAAATTCAATCACCTTTTTTCTCATACAAGTATCGTCGCCTCAAATATTTATATCAAGTTTTTAAAATATTTAAATTACATTTTTTTCGGGTGTCTCGCAGTGGAAAGTCGGGGTTAAGACCTAATGATCCCTTCCCATCGCTATTAGATAAATATATATCAGATTCTCGTTTTATAATTCGTTTGGAAAGTTGTCTTTTTTTGGGAGTCTTTTCTAGTTTTCGATTACAAAACAAATACCTATTGTTTCGCTGATAACACCAACACTAATGCTGAGATAACACACAATAATAATAATAATAATAATAAACTTTTTTCTCATTTAATGTGAGGATAAACAGTGTGTCCAAAGAAATCTTAGGCTGTGATCGATAGGCACCAGAAGTATAGCCGACAACACAAACGCGAGAATCAACGGTAAGGTTTGGCTCAACGGCTAAAAAAGTAGTAAAAATGACAAACTATTGGCACTATTTTTTACGGCCGTTGGGAATATGGATGGCCGACAGGGCACTGGTAGGCAGTCATCATCAGGTGAGAGAAAGACACTCAGCGAGTGTGAAAAAGGGACAGAGATATGGCTAACGGTCAGACTTAAGCATAATATAAGATGAGAGGAAAGTAATAAAAACAGAGAAAAAGCATTTTGTCGATCAACACAACAACACATATAAGTTATATAACTATCAGTAATACTGTGTCCACTATTCTCAACGCTTATATACATTATGATATCCACTGCAATACCCAATGGGTATCTGTGCTGAGGAGATGTCACTCTAGAAAATTAGCCCAAAGATGAGAGACAATCACTAATGTCATAGTCGTTGGGCACAGCTATTGAGTGAGACACCATCGCCACGAGATACCAGTGCCGCACACATACAGCACACATACACACTACCAATCAATCCATCTCTAAGTGACCCAATCATATTAGGACTGTTTGTCTCTCCACTCATCTCAATGTCAATGTTTGGACACAAGAAAAAACTTTTCTAATCAACTCAAATGATACTCAACTCAATAGATGTATAGATAGAGAGTACATATAATGCTATATCGATATATATTTTCCCGAAATGAAATTCTCGACAATTTTCTTATACTATGAACACAAAGAAAGATATATAACTTATAAGATATAACTCTCTCTCTCTCTCTCTCTCTCTCCTTCCAGATAGCAATCATTTTTAAGGGCAATACTTCTAATACACAAAAGTACTGCTAATACATAGAGTATAAAACAAAATCATACAATAAATTTAACTTTAGGTTCAGTTAAACAGAAAATTTCACTCAAAACAACAAAAATATCAGAAATAAATCACAATATTTTTATTCCCAAATGAAAAAAAAGTTTAATACAATTAATCAGAAACTTTAAGAATAAATTAATAAAATTAAATCAAATAATAAGTCGACTGTAAAAAGCAATTCCCGAAGAATTGGCAAATAATCAATGAATAGGGGAGTGAGGCTTATGTGCAACGATCATACAATACAAATATGTTAGGAAAAGCTAAAAAATATTTTTTAATCGCTTGAAAACTAAATGCTAACCATTAGGCGCACATGTAGTCTATTATGGTAGGATCGGTCATTTATAGCCTTAATTTCATAATCACTCGCATTATTATAAATAATATTAAGAGGGGAGAGAGGGAGCTAAGAAAACACATAAAAATGTAAATATCCTACGCAAACAATAAACAGGGTAACAAATAAAACACAAACAATTATAATACAATAGTAATGATGGCATAATATGTAAAGAGAGTGAAGCACTGGTAGAATGGAAACAGAATATTCATAGCACTGGTAGCCGGGAGAGTGGATGTGAAAAAATCGAGAGAGACTTTCATACATCCATTATGATTAGGGAATGGGATGTATAATACCATTATTAAGACATCCCTTTGGAGAGATGGACTACTAAACCAAAAAAACATTCATCCTTTTTAAGCTGTCAGCTTGTATTTCACGCCAACAGACATTAATGTGCCCGGGCACACAATGGCACACAATGGCTATGGGTATGGGTATGGTATGGCATATCTCGTGGACCCCTCCGCCACACGAGTGGCTATTTTGTTGATCATCATAATTGTAGGCAAGAAAATACACATAAAATATTGGTCCGTATATTCACATATCAAGTATAGATTTACATGCGATATGTGTACAGACTTTTTACACCTCTAAACAACGTGTTGAGAGGGGGCTCGAGAGGGACGGGAGGGGTGATGGCTGTGTGTGTGAGAGAGAGAGAGAGAGCGAGGCATTGGGTGCGGAGGAGAATGAGATTCATTTATAAATGGCAATCACTGCCACCACTACTACTACTGACTACTGGCGCTTGCCTTACATAACATACATGGAGTCCCTTCCCCTACCCATCACACAAAAAAACTATTTATCTTTTCAATGCCTTTTCCAAACGCTATATTACTTATGCGAAACTGAACTCAACCTTAAATTTTCCATTCACTGTGTGTTTAGCTATTATGAGAAACGATGAGTTGATTTCATTTGTCAAACATAGCGTTTTCATTTGAAATATAATTTTTTACAGTTATATCTCAACTTATAATATGAGAGAAAACACTAGCGTTTTTGTCTGGCGTATTGGTAGAGGACTGGTAGTTCACACCATACAAGTGGCCCCATATCTCTCACTCATGAGTGTCTGGTTTGACATACCATTCGTATAATGTTTTTACATAAAGAATAATCTGATGTCAACTGTTTGTCTGAAGACATATACAAACAGATATAATCGTCAATTATTTGTCAAATTAGAGCTCAAAACATATAAATATAAGATAAATATGAGATTAATAGCGAAATACATTTATGTAAACAATTTGATGCCAATATAGTCTCAAATATGGTAATGTATAGAGTATATACAATATATTCAATATTCTGTAGTATTATTCAATAAATGGTTTAATATTTTTCTGATGCATTTAGCCTAAAAACAACAACACATTTATTATGATATTTGTATTGAATAATAGATAAGTTTTAATACAATGTATGGATGTATTGCATAATGCGATAGAGAGTGGGCTTCACATGAAAAATACATAATCGGACTAAAGCTACCGCAATAACAAGAGGCTAAACATCCAGTAAATAGCAAATCCAGCTTAAAGTATAGCTTTGGATATCAATTTGTTTGACATATTGTCACGTTGTGTGTGGCTTTCGAGGCGAGCAAATGCATCCATAGATTAGATGCGAATATCATTGAGAAAAATATTGTATGCATTTTGCTATGACTTAACAGTGGAGAGAGAGAGAGAGAGAGAGAGAGAGAGAGAGAGACTGAGAAGCATAACAGATATCACTCCTAACAAAATGGATCACATCTTCACTATCACTATACAGTTCACTGTAAGACTGAGTCTAACGAGTATTATAGAGAAAAATAGTATAAAAAACTTTTTAAATCCCAGTCAAAGCGTAAGACCTATTCTTTGTACGCAATGGCATTCATTTCATACATATATTCATTCATTTATTGTTCACTAAAAATAAATACTTTAAACTTATTTTGCAGCGAAATTTTTTTTATTCAATTTTCATTAAACTACAGCTCAAATGGTAGAAAAATGTTTTATCTAAAAATCCTCTGCAATTAAAGAAGATTTATGTTCGCCTATAAAAGCAAACAATTTTATATTAAAATACTGAACCAAAAAATAAAGTTTTTTTTTTCTCTCTCTCTCTCTCTCTCTCTCTAGCTATCTATCCGTTACTATTCTGTGTCTGAATTTTTATTTATATATTTTCGCTGCATTTTATGCCAAAAACTAATTTTTCATTCAATGATTAAAACAATAAAACAGTGAAACACATTATTAATTAGGCATAAAAATGAGGCGAAAAAAACATTATTCGCTGTAATGAGAAAAAGTTTTATCAAAAATTATAGTTAAGTTTTAAGTGCTATACGAGTGGAGAGATGTGTTATAGTCTTTTAGTGGTAGGCATTATGAGCTGCCATTCGCTAACTCCTATGACATACCAGTGCACCTGTCATTAGTGTTATACGAGGGCGA